CTAACATAGGAAGGAATTTCCTTTTAAAAGCATACATTCTATATACTATAGATAAAAATTGCTTATTTTCTCTATGAGCAAAAGTGACTGCAGGTAAAAAATTGGGCAAGTCATGGAAAACAAGAGTAAACGCAAACATCTAATGCACAGGTACAATTATTGCCACTCCAGCTTCTCAAAGCCAAGCATGCTATCCCTTTGTGTCCCCCACTACTATCAGAATTAAAGGGGTAGGGTTTGGGAAAGGAACTCAGAACTTCTCCATCATTCATACTTTCAGAAGTAGATTACAGGAAACAGTATAAACTTTTCTTTTCAAAGAAGTGGAGATGTAGGAAAAGAAAATGAAATTTCAGGATAGATTGGCAGGTCTAAATGACGCTCATCCTCCAAAATTTTTATTCTACATTATCTGTTTTTCCCTTGTTGGCTATCCTCTTTAAATCTATATGTATTTCTGGGAGGACTGTGATACCATTAGTCATTTGATATTAATATGAAATAGCAAAAGGAGCCTATTTCCCTCCTCTCAAGCAACTAACTTTCCACCAAGAGAATAAATATTTGAAAATGGACGAGGAGAAACAGATAATGTTAAAACTCTTTAGGGAATAGGATTGAACCTGATGGGATAGCTCAGTAGTTGTTATGGGCGACAGGATAGTGTCTTAATGTTTAAAGGAAAGATGTGGTAAAGAAGGGGAGGTACAGCAAGTTTAAAATTCCCTTTAAAATTTTGTCTAGGGCCAGCCCCTTACTGAGGAAGGAAAAAGCAAACACTTCTCGTCCCTACTCCTTAGGGTTTCGGTAAATATCCTCAGAAATTAAGCACCATGTATAACATTGCTTCTAGCAAAACAAGTATCTAAGAGCCAACAGTCTACAAACATACTTGTAGAAGGCAAATTATTTGTAAATAATATTTACCAGTGATGGTGATTATATTCATTGAACACTTCCTTTGTGTCAAGCACTATCCTATTTGTTTTACTCACATTAGCTTGGTGTATTTACAGCACGCCTGTCCTTGCAAAAGGGGAACAAGGCTTACAGAGGTCATCCCATCCAAGATCAAAGCCAGCTAATGACAGAGTTGAGGGCTGGCCTATCCAGTTCCAAACACTGCATAGAGGCAGAGTGCCTTCAATATTTGTAAAGTTAATTAAATAATGGATTCTTAAGTGTCTCCCC